AGCCACCCAGGCGCCCTGTAATCTGTTTTTCTTAAAAATTGTTACAAGATATTCTTTTTATTTTTGATGTTTTATAATTTCAACACATCAGATGCAAGTGGGTATTTGTCCTTCTTGAGATTTGGTGTATTGCTTTATCCAAGAACTCATGATATTTTCAGTTCTAAAAATGTGAGCCATTAGCTTTTCAAATACTGCCTGTTCTCCATCTGCTGTTTTGAATCTCCTATAGATGTTCATTCTGACTGCTTGTGCCCTTCCCCATATTTCTTCACTAGCCTACTTTTTGACCCATCATTTTTTTTTATGCTGCACTCTAGATATTTTCATCAACTCTGTATTTTAATTAATAATTCTTTCCTCTGCTGTGTCCATTACTTTTTTTAGTTTAAAAACTAAATTTTCATTTCTAGGTGTTCTGTCTGGTTCTGTTTCAAAGTTGCCTATTATTTCATCATAGTTCCCTGTTTATTAATTATGACTTTTATTCTGTCTTTCATCACTAATTATTTAGAACAAGAGATGGCAATTTTTTCTGCCAAGGGCTGAGGAGCGAATATAGGTCATGTGATTTCTGGCACAACTATTCAGCTCTGCGTTGTCGCACAAAGGCAGACCTAGGCAGTAGCTAAACAATCGGGCATTTACTATGTTCCAGTAAAACTTTATTTACCAGAACAAAAGTTGGACTAGATATAGCTCATGGGCCATGATTTGCTGACCCTTGATTTAAAACGTACTCTATTAATAAACAGCTCACATTCTTGGTGTTCTCTTAACTCAAGTAACTGAAAGTGGCAGTTCTTCTGTTTGATGCATCAGCTAGCTGTTTGTTAGAGTGGTTAATTTTCTTGTATGTCATAATTTTGAGTTGTGAACTCTACACACAGCCCTCTGTTGAAGGTCAGTGTACCTTGAATTGTAGAATTATCCTTCAAAGTGTATTGGTATTTTAGATCTTGAAACTAATATTTTTATAAAAGATTGCTTTTTAAATTATTACTCTCCAAATACCCTGAACAGGAATCTTTTGAAATAATCCAGTGCTTATAGTGCTCTGCCTGATATATGGGGAATCACATTGCTCTGAGCTAGCTATCAATACCTCTGTTAAAATTAACAGCACTGTTATTATTGTTATTATTGATCTTAGGTCTTATAGAATCTATAAAAATTGATTCCAAATTCTGATGAATTGGAAGACCATAATTAAAATACTTCTTTATCTAGACCTGATGCTACTTTGACTAAAATATATAGATGGTATGAGTGAAGTACACATTATGAAAATAAAAGACAAGTAAGACAAGACAGAAACACAAAAGAAGCTTTGGAGAGTTCCTTCTGAAATGTCACTTATAAAAGTGAAGAGCTAGACATATTATTGAATATGTTCAATATGTACATATGTGTATATGTGCATGTGCATGTTTTCCCCAGTCTACAGTGAATTAATGCTCTTCCTTGTTTATCACAGGACACTTGAAATGGACCAAAGCTGAGGACATTGACATAGAAACCCCAGGATCTATTCTTGTCAACACTAACTTGAGGGCATTAATAAATAAACATACGTTTGCTTCCTTACCTCAGCATTTTCAACAATACCTCCTGCTTTTGCTCCCAGAAGTGGATAGGCAGGTAAGTGAGAGTTTTAGACATTTAATATTAGTCACTAGTTATATTATCATGAAGTGGTAGTTCTGTTATCAAAGATGACTGATACACGTATGGACCCTTTGTATAACAATATAGTCTATTTATAATATATATACTTGTTGCTAGCATTGGTGTGTTTAATTTGCCAAAACAGAACCATTTTTATTTTCAGTAGAGAGCCAATTCAAATTTTAAAATACAACACATTGCTGTAGAGTGAAAACAAAAGTCCTTTCCACACTGGAAAGGGAAAACAAAGAAATCAAACATTCCATTATCAAGTAAATCTTTGAAGTAGCTGCTCCTTTTGCCTGGAGGGAATATTGAAGTGCAGCAATAAAAAGCCAGGGTTTCTAAGAAATTATGTAAATGTTTTTATTCTCAACTCTTTCCAAAAAGCATTTAAAATTTATGTTTGCAGTTGCCTTCTGAGACTCTATCATCATGAATATGATTGCCTATAAATAATCACCTTTTATCTTTCTTTTTTTAGTATAACTGGAAATGCTTTAAGTTTATTTTTGTATTTTGAAAAGCCTCTAAAATAAGGAAATACAAATATAGACCCATAATAGCAGGCATCAATCATCTTCTAAAGCTGTTTCCTTAGAAAAGAAAAGGAAAAATATTTTATCACATAAACTTTTATTAAATTTCACAAAACTTATTAAATGGCAACTAGGAAAAATTTCCTTGTCATTCTTATTTCAATAAATTTTGACACTGTATATAGTTTCCAGTTGATGGACATAATGTATATGTGTTTATGTATTTGCATCTCAAAATGAGAGGTACATTCATATACTGAAATGGGTAAGATTATTCAATATTTCCATATTACTTTGAATAAATTTTCTTAGCTTTTTATTTGATTCCATTTTCTACTAACTTAGCTGCCTCCTTTCATATATATTTAAAATGTGATGAGCTACGGCTTTCTACCACTCATATGTACCTCTTTGGTGGAGATTATTGTTCACATTTAGAAAAAGATTATTGTGATTTTGGCTACATTTCTGTTTGGGAATTTGCCTTCATTCTATGAAAATTTGTTTAATGTTTACTCTGAATATGGTATGTTTTAGGTCCTTTGGAGTAATGGAAAGACAGTAAGTGCCTCTTAAGTATTTATTGGTGATTAAGTATGCTTTAGTTGGATACGTAAGCTATATTTGTGAATAATCTGAATGTGAGGTAGAAACAGGTAAGCCTTGAGGGGAGAGCACGAAGTATATTGAGCTTTCATATGCAGAAGGGAAAAATCAGAGACAAATTTAAGGTCCTTGCATTGGGCCTTGAGATGTAGGCAGGATTTGAATAAAATAGATGGACTTCCAAGTGAAAAGTTCAAAGATACAAAATCAAGAGCTATTTTTGTAGGAGTCTAGATTGTAGGATGAACAGTGCAAAAGAATCTGGACAGACAAATTGGAAGTCAATTTTGGAAGATTCCTTGAGTTATGAGGCTAAGGAGTCTGAGCAGTGTTCCCCTGTGTTTGCAAAGCCATTGAGGGCTTTTGAGCACAGCTGTAATATGGTAAGATTGTTGCTTTTTAAGAAAATTATTCTGGCAGTATTTGAAAGGGAATGTAGAGATGGGATGCATAAAAGTAGGAAGAGTTGTTAGGACACAATTTTAGTTGTTCCAAAAAGGCAAAATGAGGGCTTGAATTTGGAGAATAGTGTTGAAATTAAAGAGGAGGAAGATAATGTGATCATCACCATCATCATCCAGTGGTAGCAATTTTACATTTTGTCAAATAACACTTGAACAAGGTATAGGGAGAAGCCACTGATGACTCTCGGGTTTCACATTTGTGTGGCTGAGAACTGAGTTTGGGAGTTAAGGAAAACTTTGGGGAGGTGGGAGAGACTGATTTATTAGCGATAGAACTATTTCCTCCGCCTTAGCATACATGTGGTGCATCTTGTTTACAATTCTGTCCCCAGCTCCTGGAACAAGATTGGGCACACACAAGGTACTCAATAAATCTTTTGGAATGAAGAAATGACGAATTGCCCTAGGTTTAGCCAAATATTTTGGTAACCCAGGAGGCCAGTGTAAGCCTAGTATTTTATTCAACCTGTAGCCGTTTCTGTTTCTCATTTTTTCCAGTCAGTGTGGTAAGTGTAATAAGGCACAATACCTGTCCTCATATAACAGTTAGTCCACTGGCAAATTACTCAAGCAGTGTTTACTGAGCATGTACGGTGTACTGTATACACTTTGCTAAATACAGAGGATGTAAGAATGAATCTTAGGGAGAAATCACAGATAGGAGAAAGACAACCTCATGCTGATACATGGTACACTTTGCTCATTACTAGGGAAGAAGTCTAATAACTGGGTAAACCTACACCAAATTCGGTGTAAGACCAGGAAGAGCAACATAAATGTCAAAGTAGACTTTTGAAGAAAGTCTCATGTAGGCACAGAGGATGAAGAAATTTAATCGTAAACTAACACTGGAGAAGATAACTCAGTTGGGCCTTGAAGGACTAATAGGTGTTTTGCAAGTAGAGCCAAGGGAAAGTGAATTCTCTAGAGGGAGAGCATGTCATTTATAAAGATCTGCTGCTTGTGTGTTCCAGAAGATTTAGTAGTTCAGTATGATTGGATCATCCTGTGGGGGGAAAGTGGTGAGCTACTCTGCTGATGGGGAGTATGGTGTACAACCTTCATGACCTAGTTGCAGATTAAGCTTTTCAAACTTATTCTGAAACCAATGGATGCCATCATAGAGTTTTTCAAATGAGAAATGGCCTGCATACAATAATTTAAACAGGTATTTTCTTGCTTGGACATAGGGGAGGGAAAGGGGATAAATAAAGTGCATTCCTTATTTTCTCCTAGGAGCTAGTTGCCCTGTGAATGATGGATTGGACAGGCAGAAAGATAAGACACAGAGAAACTGGGAAAGAGACAATTGCACTAGTTGAGATATGAGATAAGGGTGTGACCTTGGGCATTGGCCTTGGAAATGAGAAGAAAGGACTGAATTCCAGACATAGTTTCAACCTACTTGAGTAGGAATAAATGACAGATTGCCTGTGGGATAGGGTTGTAAAAGGTCTAGAAGGCAACTGGATATTTTATCTAGGGTGACTTGGGAGGACAGTAAAGCTCTGGGGGCCTATCAACCATTTGATACCAAGACATTTAGAGCTCAAGTCTCTGTGTGCCTTGCTGGAGGTGAGCTGAAGCACCCTCTCTCCTATCAGAAAGGGGCAGGCAACTTGATGCAGCAAGCTCCCCACACTGCTGCTGTTTAGCACAGCTTAGAAATATCCAGATGGCATTGAACACCACCACTTTCTGGGCCAGAATGAGTAGAAAAGGCATGCAAATGTGAAGCTAATTACATAGATTTATTTGAACCAGTGGAAAGTACTATAATTATATGAAATACCTCAGAATTTCACTTGTATGAAAACTTGTCTTTATATATCTGTCTAGAATGTGAAAGTCCCAGGTTTCTTGTTTCCTTCCTTTGACTCCCCAGGTTTCTACCAGATTTCTCCCCTGAAGCAGTCCCTACCAGCCTCTGTCTGACTCTGGACCATAGAAAGCTGGGGATCATTCAGTTGTTACATCTTCATATATGGAAGCTGGGTTTCCCATTTATCTTATCAGTGCCAGTTGTCATTCTGCCAACCTGTCTGGTATTTTGTTTTTCTATATTTCTACTTTTCTTTCTTTTATAGAGGGCTGCTTATCTTAGATTTCATATATATTAACTTCTAGTTGTTTTATACCATTTTACACAATGTACTGCAAGTAGCAGAATATTAAACTCAAACTGACTTAAATATAAAGGGATTTATTGGCTTAGGTAATTAGAAGATAGAAATTAGAGTGGGCTTCTGGTTGTCGGTCCTGGGATCTACTTATTGTCAAGAACCCATTTCATTATTATTTAATGAATTAATTTTAAAAATCATCTTTCTTCTTGTTGGCATTATTCTAATCCCCCTTTGTTTTTTTGTTTTTGTTTTTGTTTTTTTCCTAATTCCCCTTTGTGATAGGATGGCTACCTGAATAAAAAAGTGGGTTTCAAAGAAAAGGTCTAAGATTCACACTATTGGTACTACTAAGATCACATGACCACTTCTTGAACAATGCCTCTAGCTAAGGAAATGGAGTATGCAAATTGTTTAGAGCAGCTAGACCTACCTATTCTTGAACCTCAGTGTGCTCACCATCTCCTCCAGGAAAAATGATGCACTGTGATAGAGGTCAGGAGTACTTTAGAAATCTGGCTTTTAGGAAGTTATGTTAGAGGATCTGCAACCGGGGGTGAGGGAGAATCTTGGCAGTCCACTAACAGTGCCCACTGTAGGGGGGTACGTATTGAGTTTGGTTTTAACAGGTTGGATTGAGATGCTTCTACTATATGAAATGTTGAGAAGTAATTATACAGGTTTTAAAACTGAAGGAGATGGAGTTAGTTTATAGCTATTTATAAAATCTACATAGATAATGGCGTCACCTATGGGATTTGATGAGCTACCAGATACAGTTATCCCAGAGGAATACATGTATTTGTGAGAGGGTGTGGATGAGAAGGAGGATGGGAAGGAGCCAGGGAATAGACAGAACATGAGCAAGTACTTCAGAGATCGTCGTGTGCATGTTATATACTGCCAACGGTGTCAAATGGCTGTTAGGAGGTCAGTGGGGAGTAAGTGGGATATCTGTCCTTTGTCCCTCTAGATCCACCCTTCAGCCTTCTTTACTCTGCTTTGCTGCAGGAGGCTGAACCATATATGGACTAATGCACCAGGAGGACCTATGCCTTCTGTATTTTTTTTTAATTTTTAAATAATCATACACGTTTAGAAAATTTGAAGATACATTAGAGAATTAGTTTCCAGCCTGGTGATCCATCCAGGACCCCCTTCCCCCAGTATATTATGACTGTAATATATTTGCACCTTGCACCTATTAGTTGGCACATAATTTTTATTTGTCACAGTACTGC